TGCTACTGTAACAAGCTACCACCAATGTGGTTTACAGTATCACAAATTTATTATATTTTCTACAGGTTGTAAGTTGGGTAAGCTTGGCTAGATCTTCTGCTTACAGTCTCAAGGTCAAAAATCAAGGCATCTGCAAAGCCATTTTGTTTCCTGAAACCTTGGAGAAGAATCTACTTCCAAGTTCATTCAGATTGTTGGCACTCAGATCCTTGTGATTGCAGGACTGAGGTCTCCATTTCCTTCTTGTCAGATACTAGAAGCTATCCATATTCCTTCTTGTATTTCCTTGCAGCTAATAGAGTTCCTCTCATGCCTTTAATCTGCCTGATTTCCCCTTCAGCCCACCTCTGATTCTGGCAAAAAATGTTCTCCGATTTTAAATGCTCATGTGGTTAGTCCATGACTAACCTGGGATCCAGGTTAATTTTTTCTGGTTTTAATATTCTTTACATTAGACAGGGAGTGGTGGCACATACCCTTAATCCTTGCACTTGGATAGGCAGAGGCAGGTAAATCAGATCTCTGAGTTCAAAGTCAGCCAAAGCTACAAAGTAAGACTCAGCCTCAAAAAAAAAAACAAAAAAAAACCATTTAACATTATCTGCAAAAATCCCTCTCTTCTGTATAACAGTATGCCTACAGATTCTGTGGGTCAAAATATGAACACTCATACAGGGTAAGAGGTATTATTTTGCCTGTTTGTTACAACCCCGTTGTAGGGTTTTAACTCAATTTCTAAGGAAGCCTCTTTTCATGGCTCAGCAGTTAAGAACACTGGTTGTTATTGCAGAAGACCTGGGTTCAGATCCCAGCACCCACATGGCAGCTAACAACTGTCTGTAACTCCAGTTCCAGGGGATCCAATCCCATAGCTTCTTCTGTCCTCCCCAGGCATTGCACAACATGGGTGTACTTACCCATACGCAGGCAATACATGCATACACATAAATTAAAAATAATATTTTTTAAAAAAAGACTATGAGGCTGGTCATGATGGCACATGCCTTTAGTCCCAGAACTTGGGAAGCAGAGGCAAGTGGGATCTCTGTGAGTTCAAGGCCAGCCTGGTCTATGTATGGAGTTCCAGGCCAGCTGGGGACTATAGGGAGACCCTGTCTCAAAAAGACAAAAATAAAAATAAATAAAAAAACAAAAGACTGTATGATGTAAAAATCTTATGTTCAGCCAGGCGTGGTGGCACATGCCTGTAGTCCCAGCACTTGGAAGGCAGAGGCAGTTCCAGGACAGCTGGGGCTACGGGGAGACCCTGCTTCAAAAAGACAAAAAAAAAAAAAAGTTATGTTCAGGGCTAGAGAGGTGGCTGAGTTGGTAAACTGTTTACTTTGGAAGCATGAACTCCTGAGTTCAATCCAAAATACCGATGTAAATAGTCAAGCACTTCAATCCCAGCACTGGGGAGGCAGAGACAAGAGGACCCCTGGGGCTGGCTGGCCAAGTAGGCTAACCAGGGAGTTTCAGTTCACTAAAAGATATTGTCTAAGAAATAAAGTTAAAAATAATAACAGCAGGGAGGAACTGGAGAGGTAGCTCAGTAGTAGAGAGCGTGTACTGCTCTTGCAAAGAACCAAAGTTCAGTTTTCAGTACCCACATTGCGCAGCTCACAACTGCATTCCCATACATGTATGCATGCTTGCGTGAACACACACACACACACACACCACACCACACCAAAAAATAAATAAATCTTGAGGTGGGGCATGGTGACATACACCTTTAATCCCAGCACTCGGGAGACAGAGGCAGGAGGATCTCTGTGAGTTCGAAGCCAGCCTGGCCTACGTAGTGAGTAGGTCAGCTGGGGCTACAGGGAGAAGACCCTGTCTCAAAAGACTTAAAAAATAATAATAATAAAATAAAAATAAATACATCTTGAATAAATAAATAAATAAATAAATAAATAAATAAATAAATAAATAAATGAATGAAGTGGAAAGCAATTGAGGAAGACATCCAACAAAGATCTCTGGTCTCCACACACAAAATGTTACATTCAGAAATAGAGACAGCAGCTGGGTGCCCACCTTTATTTAATCCCAGCACTCTGCAAGCAGTGGCAGGAGGATCTCTGAGAGTTCAAGGCCAGCCTGATCGTCAGAGTGAGTTCCAGGTCAGTTGGGGCTACAGGGAGACCCTGTCTCAAAAAGAACACCCCCCCCCAAAGAAATAGAGACAGTAACAAGAAGCTGGGTGTGGTGGCTCACACCTGTAATTCCAGCAATTTTGGAGGCTGATGCACTGCCAGGAGCTCAAGACCAACCTGGGCTACATGATGAATGTCAGGGCAATCTGGGCTTTGTTACAAGTAAGCCCCTTTCTCAAAAAATGCAAACAAAAGGAGCTGGAGAGATGGCTCAGTGGTTAAGAGCACATACTGTGCTTGCAAAGGATCAGAATTTGGGTCCCAGCATCCACTCTGGGTGGTTCACAACTGCCTACAACTCCAGCTCTAAGGGATCTGACACCCTCTGTTTGAGGGCACTTGAAAACATGTTATTACCTGCACTTGCACTCACACACACACAAAATATTTTTGAAAATATTTTTAAAAATACCGGGGCTGGAGAGATGGCTCAGCAGTTAAGAACACTGGTTGTTCTTGCAGAAGACCCGGGTTTGAATCCCAACACCCACATGTCAGTTAACAATTCTCCTTAACTCCAGTCCCAGGGGATCCGATAGTCTCTTCTGACCAATGGCAGCATTGCACGACATGGGTGCATTTACCTACATGCAGGCAATACACTCATACACATAAAAAATAAAAATAAATAAAATTTTTTTTTAAATACAAGAGCAAACAAATAAGATAAAAAAGAACACAGCCTCACCTTGAAGGTAGGAGGTGAGTTAAAAAGAGTTAAAAGCACACTGTGCCTGGGCATGGGTGCCACATGTCTTTAATTCTAGGACTTAGGAGAGACAGACGGAGGCAGATCTCTGAGTTTAAAGCCAGTATGGTCCACATAGTGAGTTCCAGACTAGCCAAAGCTACATAATGAGATCCGGTCTCAAAAAAAAGATGGTTGGGCATGATGGTGCATGCCTTTAGTCCCAGCACTTGGGGGTTGGGAGGCAGAAGCAGAAGATCTCTGAGTTCCAGACCAGCCTGGTCTACACAGTAGTGAGTTCCAGGCCAGCGGGGGTGTGGCGGTGCACGCCTTTAATCCCAGCACTTGGGAGACAGAGGCAGGTGGATCTCTGTGAGTTCAAGGCCAGCCTGGTCTACATAAGTGAGTTCCAGGACAGCTGGGGCTACAGGGAGACCCTGTCTCAAAAAGACCCCCCCCCAAAAAAAAGAGGTTGCCCTCAGTCCATCATCAGGTAGCAAGGCAATTTCCTAGCAACTCAAACTGGCCCATGACTCTTGAATATGGGTTTCTTGCTTTCCATAAAAGCCAACATAAAGTAGGCATGGTGTGCTTAATTTTAAAGAAAAGTCGCAAAAGAATAACCTAACTTTGCAACTATTAACAAAATCAACCTAAGTAAATATCCAACCCTTTCCTTCTTTCTTCAAGTTACACATCCTCCTCCAATAGCAAACTAAAGCCAAATATTTCAAAGTCATAGAAGGACAAACCTGCCCTGGTAGAACTTCAGCCATGAACTTTTCAAAACAACAGGCAAGCATTAGTCCTGGACTTTCAGCCTTAGGTGCACCAAGCCAGTGAAACCAACTGATCCTAGTGACTACAAAGATAATTCTTGAAGCAATTCCTGGCAATAAATTTTACCTAGACAGAATTCCAAGTATACCAACTAGCCCTTTTAATAACAACAACAGGTCAAGATCTAGTGAGCATTTACCGACTGCCAGGCACTGTGGTCAACATTTGATGTAAATTATCTAGATACTTCTTGATAATAATTTGTAAGCTAGGAAATACCACGCACATTTTACCAATGGAAAACAAGTATAAAGCCAAGTAATCACACTGCTAACTAGTCAATGGCCCTGATAATTGAAAACTTAAGACGTTTAGTTTATTGCCACTGACCTATATAGTTCATTGCCACTGACCACTCATTAAATCGAAAGAGGTCTTCAACTCTTGGGGGAGGGGAAATCTACCCTTCTTTGATTTTCATCCCCGCCCCCCACTTCTCTCAAAAGAATTTAGCGGTTACAAGGAAATCAAATCTTCCCCCAAATAACCCGTCACCTTTTCAGTAACACTTTCCTCCCCCACAAAAGCAAAAGGCAAAGAAGCAATTCTCCAGACCCTGTCTTGGCTTCTCCAAGGCAAACTCCCATCAAGTTCGACTCATCACCTGCCTGATCTAGATCTGCTCCAACACTGCAAAATTCAAACAAGAAATTCGAAAGTCCTCCTCTTTCGAAAGGTCACTACCATGCATACTCTTAGCCAATCTCTCTCCTTAACATACCTTTCCTTCTCCACCCAGGCTTCCAAAGAGCCCTGACCGCCAACCCCACCCGTTCTGCCCCACTTCGTGGTTCCCTCACCTTCCAGTCCAGCAACCCCGCCCAGGGCCCCCTCCACCTCGCACTCTAGGTCTGCAGGTAAGAAGTTCAGCCCCGCCCAGCGGAGCCCTAGGAAGGCCCCTGGTCCCACCGCTCACGCTCGGCACCAGGTTTCTCGCCACTCTGCCCAGGAAGCCCACTCCTTCAGTGCGCGGACCCAGTTCCCTTCCCCCTTCCACCACCCCACCTCCAAGTTGTCCCTGAGTCTCCGCCCAGGCCAGCGGCCCTCCCGCAAGAAGCGCAGCCTGACAGCAGGCTCCCACCCGCACACCCGCCCGCCCCTCCGCCGCGCTCTGCGCCCTCGGAGCCGGCCCCGGATCTCCCGGATGGACTGACTGCAGGGGCCTCAGCTGCTGTGTGCAGCGATGGGGGGGCAAGGGCGGGTAAAGGCCCTCGGAGGCGGCTGAGAGCGTGCGCGGCGGCCGCGCCCTGCTGTCTGACCTGGGCTCCCCCGCGCGTCCCCGCGCCCTCGGCCTGCGGCTCCCACAATACCTGCGCTGGAAGCGGCAGCGGCAGCGGCCCCGCTCCCCTCTCCTCACACAGACAATATGGCGGCCGCGGAGGAGGAGACACACGGCTCGGCCGCCAGCCGCAGGGACCAGAGCGAGGCTTCAGCCTCCGCTGCCGGAAGCGGAAGCCCCTCCCACCCGGAGGCGGGACAGGACGGCTTCCGGCTCCGTCTTCGGAGGAATCCGGCTGAGTGCAGCCGTGTGGGCTTGTTGGATGGCTTTCCTTCGGTTCAGGGATAGACTGGGGCGCCAAATAGGAAGGAGTTGCCCTCGCGGAGCCTAAAAGTGAGAATTCAGGCGTTGAGGCGCAGTTTTGTGAGGACCGATACTAGGTGACCAGAGAAAACTCGAACCTCTCGCTAAGCGAACAGTTGATTTGACCCAGGCGAAGATGGCGAGCCGGATTCTCTACACAACGGCGGGCGGAGCGACACCAGCCCAAAAGTCCCTTCCTTTCCTCGAAAGAAGCATGCGCGACCTTTAAAGTTGTAGAGTGGAGCATCCTGGGAGGTGAAGTCTCTCCTTTTCCCCGTCCCCCGTCCCCCCCGTCCAGGTTTAGGGTTCCAGCCACACTTCCCCTCAAACTTGGGAGTTTAGACCTATGAAAGTTGGGTACCGTAAGGGGCGTGGCTCTGGAGTCCAGGAATGGAGATGGTAATAGCCGGCTGAGAACCGGTCCTCTTCCTCCTATTGAGTCCTACCTGGAGCTTGCCCATTCAGAATGCAGTAGGGGTTTCTGTCTTTCAGCCTGCCGTCATCCTAACTCTTCTTGCAGGACCTTCCTCCCCCAAACAGACACAGGGCACTTTTGTGCTGTGCAGACCGGATCATGGTCTCCTTTTGCTCATAATTCTCCCGTGGCTGTTTTGTGCACCAAACACTTGGCTTGGTATACAAGCACACACACACACACACCATTTGGGGGTGGGGTGTCAAACACCTCCTTTCTAGTCTGTCTTTAAAATTCCTGATGCTTTCCATCACTTAAGACTGCAAACAATTATCATAACTTGGCAGTGTTGCCTCCCTCTCTTTGATCTGGCAGCTACTTCTGTTACAGTTACATTGTGGACTTGTATCTTTTGTTGAACTTATTCTCGGGGTGGGGGAGGGGTATCTTTTCCTCGGAGGACCTACTCTTCTTGAACATCCCAAATTCAGGTACCACCAACCTGAGGTCCTTCGTCCGCCTCCCCCATCAGACTATGAGCCCCCAGTGGACAGAAGCTGGGGTGTGTGTGTGTGTGTGTGTGTGTGTGTGTGTGTGTGTTGCTGAAAGGAGTTCAATGTTAGCCTCACCTCTGGTAGGGCAGAGGTGTGAGGGCTGAAACAAGGGTGAGGAGGCTGGGTTATTTCTGTACCAGCCATTATCCCCACCTGCCTCAGTGATAGGCTTTCCACCCTCTCCAGCACTCCTTACACAGTTTGTCAGCTGACTCTGCACCCAAAGAGACAACTCTGCCCCCTCCATAAAGTGGGAATGGTGATGGCTTCAGATACATAGTGATGGCCTTAGAGAGGTGACCTTTTCTGGGCCTCATCTCCCTTTGATCCCAGTTGCCTGGGTGTCTGCAAGCTGAAGCCATTTATTTTCTCTAGGCCTTAGTTTTCCCATCTGTGGACTGAAGTGGTTAGACAAGGTGATTCCAAGGTTGACCAGCATGCAGCATGGTGATGGATGCCTGTAATCCCAGACTTGGGACATAGAGGCAGGAGGATCAGGAGTCCAAAGCCAGCCTGGGCTACATGAGACCTTGTCTCAAAAAAAAATCTGGGCTTGGTGGTGCATGGATTTAATCCCAGCAGCAGGGAGATCTCTGAGAGTTTGATGCCAGCCTAGTCTACAAAATTTCAGGCCAGCCAGTGGTACGTGGTGAGATCCGTCTCAAAAAAACAAAAAAATTCAGAGGGCTGGGACTGGGAATGTAGCTTAGTTGGTAGAGTGATTTCCCAGCATGCACAAAGCTCTGGTTTCAATCCCCAGCATCTGATAAACTGGGCACGATGACCCTCAACTGTAATCCTAGCATATGGGGTTAGCTAGTTTGAGGCCAGCCTGGGATACATAAGACCCTGTCTCAAAATAAATAAATCAAGTGCTGTAAAGGGAAAAAAAAAAGTGTATGTGAAATAGACTAAAAGCTTTAGATAGCTGTAAGTGCTCTGAAGGAAAGTGGTGTTTTGAAATAGAGAGCTTTCTCAGAAGCTCCCTCTGGGAAGGGAAAAGTACAGAGGTTCCAAGGCAGGAAAGAACTTGCTGCGTTTAAAGGAGGCCATGATGGCAGAAGCACTGAGTAAGGGAGAGAGGAGATGGGAATGTTGGGGGAGGGTGGACAGGACCTTGGGCCATGGTGAGGAAACTGGGCTTTCTTTCCAGGCTTAGCACTCATGCCTTTCTGATGATTGTGTTGCCCTGAATACTGCCTAGGTAGCCTAGCTTAATTAATTAATTAACTTATTGAGATAGGATCTCAGCTCACTCTTAGTCCAGACTGGCCTAAAATTCTTGACAATCCTCCTACCTTAATCTCCCATGTCCTGGGATTACAGTGCGAGCCACCGTGTCAGACGGCTTTCTTTTTTTCTTTTTAGACTTTTTTTTCTTTTTTGGTCTTTTTGAGACAGGGTCTCCCTGTAGCCCCAGCTGTCCTGGAACTCACTACGTAGACCAGGCTGGCCTTGAACTCACAGAGATCTGCCTGCCTCTGTCTCCCGAGTGCTGGGATTAAAGGCATGCGCCACTCTTTTTTTTTTTCTTTTTATAAGTGTGTACACTTGGGAAAGTCATCTCTCTCTCTATTATGTGGGGCCTTCGGAATCAAACTCAGATTGTCAGTCTTGGCTGCAAGCACCTTTATCAGCTGAGCCATCTCACCAGTCTCCCCTGCAAGGATTTCTACCTGCCCCAGTCCTGTGTATCTTTGAGGATAAGGGTGCCGTAGGCCAGAAGTGCTTCACCTAGTGGTCTGGCTAAAATTATTGGATCCAAGAGGGCTGCCAGAGTTACTTTCAGATCACCTTCAACTTCATTATAGTCTCATATACATGCTGACACACCCTTTAGTGCTTTGACAGTTCACAGTCATAGCAACAACAGGAAAGAACCAGGAAAGGAGGAAAAAGAGGGCTGGGGACATGGCTCAGCAGGAAGAGTTCTTGCCTCCCAGATGTGAGGATTTGAATTTGATCTCCAGAACCCACATTTTTTAAAAAAAGCCAGATATGGGCCAGGCGTGGTGGCACACGCCTGTAATCCCAGCACTTGGGAGGCAGAGGCAGGTGGATCTCTGTGAGTTCAAGGCCAACCTGGTCTACATAGTGAGTTCCAGGACAGCTGGGACTACAGGGAGACCCTGTCTCAAAAAAGACAGAAAAAAAAAAAAAGAAAAGCCAGATATGGTTGGTAATGTAGGATTGCAGTTCCTATAATGGGAAGGCAGAAGCAAGTGGATGCAAGTGGATCCCTGGGCTCAAAGGCCAGCCAGCCTAGCCTTGTTACACTAGGTCAAGTGAGACTGTCTCAAAAACCAAGGTAGATGGACTCTGAGGAGCAACATTTGAAGTTGACCTCTAGCCTCCACATACAGGCATACAAAGTAATGCACACGCATGCGTGTGTGCGCACAAGAAAGGAAAGCATTACAGTCCTTTAATTCCCGCACTTGGAAGGTGGAGGCAGGAGGATCAAAAGTCCAAGATCATCCTCAGATATATAGGGAATTTCCAGGCCAGCCTGGGCCACACAAGACTAGATTCTCCCCTAAATAAATAATAATATAATAATAAATAAAAAGAAGAAATTGAGAGCACTTACTCCATATCCATGTTGCATAAAGAATATTCACCTCATTTATTCCTTACAACAACATGCCAAGGTAGAAACCAAATATATCCCATTGCACTGAGAAAACTAAGGTTCAGGGAGATCACAAGCCATGCCCAGGGTCACATGTGACTGATAAGCTTGTATTCCAGCCATTAGAACATGTTACTTCACTATGAACCTAATAATCAACTTTCTTTTGTTAATAAGCCACCCCAAAACACAGTGGTTTAAAACAATAACTATTCATTTGTTTATGTTTGTTGCCTCTGCAGTTTGCACCTTTCTATTGGGACTGCTCTTTCCTGTTCTGCAGTCTTACCTGGGCTCACTCTTGTGTCTGCAATCATGACCTATCAACAAGCTGGCCAGGCCTATGTGGCCTCATTCACCTGCCTGGAAATTGACTAGTGCTGTGATCTGATTACCTGGTTTTCCTCCATTTGGCTTCTCCAGTAAATAAACTTGGACTTCCTATGTGATGGTCTCCAAAAAGAAAAGAATAAAAGCAGCAAGACATCTTGGGATTGAAGCTCAGATGTGTTTTAACATCATCTTCACTGTGTTCTATTGATCAAAGCCAGCTGTGTGACACTGGCCAGCTCAGATTCAACAAGACCAAAAACATATACCCCTCCAATTGTAGTACTATTATTGCTTGTTCTTTTAAAACTCTGAGAAAACTCACTAAGTTGCCCAGGCTGGCCTTGAACTTACTCTGTAGTAGAGGCAAGCCTTGAACTTTCTATCTTCCTACATCTGCCTCCTGAGTACCACCTGTGTACCTGAGTGCCTCCTGTGTACCACCACTCCTGGCTTCTTTTTGAGATAGGATTTCTCACTAGCCTGGAACTCACCTAATAGGCTAGCCCCAGGATCTGCCTGTCCCCATTTTCCCAACCTGTGTCACCACATCTGGCTTTTTAAAAAATTTAAATTAACATCTGGGGCTGGAATTCAGGTCCTTTTTTGGGGGGAGGGGGTCTTTTGGAGACAAGGTCTCCCTGTAGCTCCAGCTGGCCTTGAACTCTCTGTGTAGACCACGCTAGCCTCAAACTCACAAAGATCCATCTGCCTCTGACTCCCAAGTGCTGGGATTAAAGGCGTGTGCCATCACACCTGTTTGGAATTAAAATTCTAGCACTTTACCTAGTGAGCTAGTTCTCCAACCCAGGGCTGATATTTTTGAGCATTTACTGTGTGTCACAATACAAGATGTCTTTCCTTACCAATGTAACTCTTAAAAGAGCCCTGTGAATCTTTCCTTAGACATAACACCAAGTCCCAGAGAGGTTAAACAATTTGTTCAAGGTCTTGTTAACAGGTCACAGTCGTTAAATAAAATGAGGACACTGTTGTCTTGACCTGGAAAGCAGACTCTTGATATATTGTTGGGTGATAAAAAGCAAGAGACAAAATAGTTTGTTGGAACACATTGAAAAATGATGCTGGAGATAAAACTTAATGGTACAACACTTGCCCACAATGCAAAAGACCTTGGATTCAAGTCCCCCATTCCCCAGTGCTAAAAAATAAGAAAAAAGATGTTTTGACTGGACATGGTGGCACATGCCCATTTGGGATAGTGGCAAGAAGACAGGAATTCAAGGTCATCCTTAGCTACATGCAAATTTGAGGCCAGCCTTGGGCTACATGAAACTTTACCTCGGAAAATAAAATTAAGGAAAAGAGAAAATTTAAAAAATGAAAAAAAGCCAAGTGTAGTGGCACACACGTTTGATCCCAGTACTTGGGAGGCAGAGGCAGGCAGACCTCTGTGAGATCAAGGCCAGTCTGCTCTACAGTGAGTTCTGGGTCAGCTGAGGCTACAGGGAGTCCATGTCTCAAGAAGACCAAAAAAAAAAAAAAAAAAAAAAAGACAAAATGAGGTGGTGGACACCTTTAATTCTGGCACTTGGGGAGGCAGAGGCAGGTGGATATCTGTGAGTTCAAGGTCAGTCTGGTCTACATAGCTAGGATGACAGGGAGACCCTGTCTCAAAAAGACCAAAAAAAAAAAAAAAAAAAAAGGAGGAATAAAAAGCCAGGTGTGGATTGGCCATCCTGGATTACATAGTGGGCACTAAGCCAGTCAGCTACACAGTGAGGCCTTGTCTTAAAAAAAAAAAAAAAGGCGGGGCTAGAGAGATGGCTTAGCGGTTAAGAGAGCACTGACTGCTCTTGCAGAGGACCTGGGTTCGATTCCCAGCACCCAAATGGCAGCTACGAACGGTCCTTAATTCCAATTCCGGGGGAATTCGATGCCCTCTTCTGACCTCTGCGGCATTGCACGACACGGGTGCACTTACATAACATGCAGGCAGTACACTTGTACACATAAAATAAAAATAATAAAATATTTTTAAAAAAGCCAAAAGAAAAAAGGTTAGAAATGTGTTATAGAAGGGTCCAGGAAAGGTTTACCGTCAACTGTTAATGGCACTTATCTCTGAAAATGGAATGAGGAGGGAACTTTTTTGTTTTAATCTTTTTGGGGGGGCAGGGGTTCTTTTTGAGACAGGGTTTCTCTGTAGCCCCAGCTGGCCTGGAACTCACTTTGTAGACCAGGCTGGCCTTAAACTCAGAGAGCCACCTGCCTCTGTCTCCCTAGTGCTAGGACTAAAGGTGTGTGCCACCATGCCCGGCAAGGAGGGAACTTTTTAAAAATATTTTTTTTAATTTTATTTTATTTATATGAGTGTATTGCCTGCATGTGTGTGAGTGCACCCATGTTGTGCAATGCTTTTGGAGGTCAGAAGAAGGCATCAGATTTCTTGGAACTGGAGTAACAGATGGTTGTTAGCTGCCATGTGGGTGCTGGAAATTGCACCTGGGTCCTTTGTAAGAGCAGTCAGTGTTCTTAACTGCTGAGCCATCTCTCCAGCCCAAGGAGGGAACTTTTTAACATCATTCTACATTGTCTGAATTATTTTTAATTTTTAAAATGTTTAAAAATTGCATTCATGGGCCAAGTGTGGTAGCACATGCCTTTAATCTTAGCACTTGGGAGGCAGAGGCAGGCAGATCTCTGAGATCAAGGCCAGCCTGGTCTAAGAGGTAAGAAAGATTCCATTCATTTATTGTGTATGTGTGTGTCCTTGTGCCATGGCATATGGGTGGAGATCAGAGGACAATTTGTGGGAGTCAGGTTTTTCTTTCCACCATATGGTTCCCAAGAACTGAACTCAGGTAGTCAGACTCAGCAGCAAATGTTTTTACCAGCTGAGCTATCTTGCTGGCCTTCTTTGAATTGTTTATTTTTTCAGTACTGGAGACTGAACACATGGCGTCAAACAGTCTAGGCAGTTACTTGTCAGTGGGCTCTATCCTTCAACTTGCCCTTCATCTCTCTTTTTCTGGTTGGTTTTTACTCTGACCAGTTTGGGTTTCTCCTTTTATGGCCACCATACCCCTACCCCTTATCAATTCTGTCCTGAAGTTTCCTCCCTTTGTAGGGCGTCCTACACATGGCTGGAGGACAGTTTACTAATCAGCCTGGTTCCTTCTTCCTTTTTTTGTTTGGTTGGGATTTTTGGTTTTTGTTTGAGACAGGGTCTACCTGTTGCTCCAGCTGGCCTGGACCTCACTATGTAGATCAGGCTGGTATCAAACTCAGAGATCCACGTGTCTCTGCCTCCAGAGTGCTGAGATGAAAGGTGTTCACCACCACACCTGGCCTTTGTTTAGGGTTTGTTTTTTTTTTTGAAACAAAGCCTCTTGTAGTACAGGCTGACTTGCTTGGAACTTTTGATCGCCTTGCCTTCAACTCCAAAGTGCTGGGATTGCAGGACTTGCTGGTGTACGCCATGTTGAGAGTGGAGGGGTGTATAATGGTGCTGAGGGCTGAATCCAGGGCTTTGTACATTTGAGGCAAGCACTCAGCGAACCGAGATATCCCCAGTCCAGTAGCGTGTGTGTGTTATGTGGTATGGGGGGCATACATATGTGTAAGCATTCATGTGATGGCCAGAACAGATTGTCATGTGTTTTCTTCTGTTGCCTCACATCTTTCTGTTTGGGTTTTTTTCTTTTTGAGACAAGTTCTCCCTGTTAGCCCTACCTGACTTGGAACTTGCTGTGTAGACCAGCCTGATCTGGGTCTCACCGAATTTTGCCTACTTCATCTCCCATCTTATTCCTTTAAGACAGGATTGCTTGGGGGTAGATAGGTGGTTCATCTGTGTAGAGCACTGGAAGCCCTTGCAGAAGACCTGGGTTCAGTTCCCAGTACCGACATGGTGCCTGTCAACCCTCCATAACTACATTTCCCGGAGATCCATTGCCCTCTGACCTCCATGGGCATTGCACTTATATACATGCAGGTAAATCACTCATGCACATACAATGAAAAATAAGAAAGCCAGGCATGGTGGCGCACACCTGTAGTCCCAGCACTCAGGAGGCAGAGTCAGGCGGATCTCTGTAAGTTCAAGGCCAGCCTGGTCTACATAGTGAGTTCCAGGACAGCTGGGGCTACAGGGAGACCCTGCTTCAAACAGACAAAAAAATAAAAATAAGAAATTTTAAAGTACTTAAATATTGAGAAAAAGACTGAATTGCAGCTCACTGTTTTGGCTATGATGGCTAGCCAGTTAGCTTCTAGAGTCAACCTATCATTACCCCCAGTGTTGGGGGTTACAGGCTTGTGTAGCCATGTCAGACTTTTCACATGGGTCCTTGGGATTCAAACTCAGGTCCTCATGCTTGCAGAACAAATGCTTTTATCCACTAAGCCATCTCTCCAATACTTAATTTTTGATACAGCATATTGCTAATAAAGCCCAGGCTATGCTTGGACTCAGTCTTCCTGCCTGAGCCTTCTGAGTGCTGGGGTTACAGTTCACATTCTGTGTGCTACTAAACCCAGCTTGCATTTTTGTGTGTGTTTAATTTGTCATAAATTACAAATTGTAGTTTTTCATGAATCAATCAGGAAAAGAGAATGTTGTTCCTTAATTTAAGGAAGAAATGGTTTTTACTCAATGGTTCCAGCATCAAATAGGCTGTTCCCAAAAGAACAGAGGATGCATGTAGCCAACCCCAACTGGAGCTAGCCACAGGAGAACTCAGCCATGATCCACTAAACCCAAGAGACATGATAAGAGTAGGAGAAATCAGTGTTTGTTCCCCATTTCCCTTCTGAGTAGTAACCCAGGTTCTTGTGTATGCTAGGCAAGTGCTCTACCATTGAGCTTTTCAATTTTTTTTCTGGGGGGGGGCGGTCTTTTTGAGACAAGGTCTCCCTGTAGCCCCAGCTGGTCTGGAACTCACTGTGTAGACCAGGCTGGCCTGGACTCACAGATCCACCTGCCTCTGCCTCCCAAGTGCCGGGATTAAAGGCGTGCACCACCATGCCTAGTTTTTTTTTAATGTGGATTCTGGAGATCCAAACTTAGGTCCTCATGCTGGTGTAGCAAGCACTTTACTGACCGAGCCATCTCCTTGGCCCCTTGGTGCCAGAGATTTATGTGAGGCGGAGGGGGGTGTCTGATGCAGTCTTATTATAGCTATATTATATATATTCATGTATATTCCTATATAACATGTATATTCCCATCTTATTGGATTCAGTAAGTACACAGTAAAGCCTTCAAATGTGCTGGTACGTGGCAAGGGTACAATCAGTGTAAACTGGCATTGT